GAAAAGAACGGTTATCCTGACCCCACTGAAGCCATCGGTTACTTGCTCGACCAGCTAGGTGATGAGATCCCCGGGTGGGAAGGCAATCCTGCAGAACCGCTCGACCATGATTGGTGGTCCCGGGTCTTGGAAGAGATGCTCGCTTCCTTAAACCGTTATGCATCGCATGCTCCCTCCACGGTCGCCTTAATGGATTCGGGTCATCCCTTCGTCTCAGATCCTCCTTTCGCCTCGGTTCCTGCTCTCGCAGGCTCTGGTCAAAACGAGCCCCCTATTGCTACGGACGCTATTCCCGATTCTTAAGAATATTTTATGTAATTTCACTAGATATTGGCATTCAAAGACTTTTTGTTTAACTCTCGTTTTCTCCTTTTTTTTTTATTTGCTATTTTCTTTCGAATAGTCTACTTGAAATTGTTTCGTGCAAGATCCTTATGTTTTTATATTATTATGCCTTTCGTTCTTTATCGAGAGCTTTTGAACTCGCGTTTCATTGTCCAGTATCCATGGTCTTTAATTTTATCCAAGGCTCTTTTTTGGGCATGGTTTTTGCGCCCTTAATGACCTTGGGATTATTCCCTGGATATTTCTGAGCATATGCTCTTGCAGAATTTACATCCTTAAATTCTATCATCATGCTCTCTCGCATCTTTTTATGATTCTTGAATTCTATCGAATTCTATCAAGTACTTTTCTAAGCATGCTTTCTCGCCGCTTTTAATGATTCTTTGAATTCTATCAAGTATTTTTCTAAGCATGCTTTCTCGCAGCTTTTAATGATTCTTGAATTCTATCAAGTATCTTTCTAAGCATGCTCTCTCGCAGCCTTAATGATTCTTGAATTCTATCAAGTATCTTTCTAAGCATGCTTTCTCGCAGCTTTTAATGATTCTTGAATTCTATCAAGTATCTTTCTAAGCATGCTTTCTCGCAGCTTTTAATGATTCTTGAATTCTATCAAGTATTTTTCTAAGCATGCTTTCTCGCAGCTTTTAATGATTCTTGAATTCAAGTATCTGTCTAAGCATGCTCTCTCGCAGCTTTTTATGATTCTTGAATTCAAGTCTGTCTAAGCATGCTCTCTCGCAGCTTTTTATGATTCTTGAATTCAAGTATCTTTCTAAGCATGCTCTCTCGCAGCTTTTATGATTCTTGAATTCTATCAAGTATCTTTCTAAGCATAATTATGCTTTTCATACAATATCAAAAAAGGAGGGCCTTTCATATTGTGTTGCGACAAAGAAAATTGTTCATCTCTTTTAGGCGAGACGAACTACAATATGAGCCTTACATGTTTACAAAATATAAGTTTCAAAAAACGGGACATTCCAACATATTCCCTGTCTTATACATAATATTTTTTCAAATGACAAATATTCCATGCTCGCGGGACTTGTCTTCCAGACATATCGCACAGCCTATATGCTCCTCCCGCGAGAACTTTTTCTACTTTGTATGGTCCTTCCCATCTCTCCATTAGTTTTCCCACCTGCTTTAGGGCATCTGCCTGTTTAAGGACCAAGTCCCCTACTTGAAATGCTCTTGCTTTTACCTTTTTATCGTATGCAGCCTTGATCCTCGCTTTACTTGCCTCCATCTTGCGCATAGCATCCTCCTGTTTTTCCAAAATTAAATCCAAGTTCTCTCGTAGGCGTTGATCATTAGCCACTTGTTGGAAGTTCATAATTCTGCTTGAAGGCATTCCTATTTCAACAGGGGCTACTGCCTCGGATCCATATACTAACGAGAAAGGACTGTCTCCTGTTGATTCCTTTCGTGTTCTTCGGTATGCCCATAGGACCGCATGTAATTCCTCCACCCAATTTCCTTTTGCTTTTTCTAATCGTTTTTTTATCCCCTCGAGTAGTATTCGGTTGATTACTTCAACCTGGCCATTCGCCTGCGGGTGTGCCACCGCTGCAAATCGTTGTTTTATCCCCAAACCCTCGCACCATTCACGTATCTTCTTTGAATTGAACTGTGTGCCGTTGTCTGAGATGATGTTTCTTGGTAATCCATACCGGCAACAGATATTTTGCCACAGGAACTTCATAATTTCGGTATCTGTGATTTTAGCGACCGCGACGGCCTCGACCCACTTGCTAAAGTAGTCTACTGCAACTACCAAAAATTTTCTCTGTCCACTAGCAAGCGGTAATGGCCCCACAATATCAATCCCCCATTGTGCGAATGGGTGCGGAGATGTGATGATCGTCATGTCTTCTCCCGGAACATGGATTAACGGTCCATGTCTCTGACATTTGTTGCATTTTTGGACAAACTGCATTGCGTCCTTCCTCATAGTCGGCCAAAAGTATCCGCTCCTCAGAACCCGTGTTATTAAGGCTCTTCCTCCCGCATGATCGCCGCAGCATCCTTCATGGATCTCTCGCAATACATATTGACCCTCTCGCGTGTCCAGGCACCGCAGATGTGGTCTTGTATATCCTCTCTTATATAAAATATCCCCATCGAGACAAAAGTGCCTCGCTTGCTGGTTTAGTCTCGTTATCTCTCGCGAACTCCCTTGGCTTTTACCCCTCAGATGATTTTTTATTTCTGTTCGCCAATCCTGCACTTCCGTCATTCCCAAGATTTCATGTCCAACCTTCAATGATGATTCTCCCATGATTATCTGAATCTTTCGCGACTCGCATCCTATATCCATGCTTCCTATTTTGGAAAGAAAATCTGCTTTCATATTTTCCTCTCTCGGGATTTGCTTCAAATCTACCTCTTCAAATTCCTCCATGAGGGCTCGCGCCATCTCGCAATAACTATTCATCCGGCTATCCTTGGTTTCGAACTCTCCTTTTATCTGCTGGACTATCAATTGTGAATCCGAAAAGACAGTCACCCTTCTTGCGCCTGCTATCGCTGCCAGTTTCATACCATGTATCACTGTCTCGTATTCCGCCTCGTTATTGGAGGCTCGAAATGGTAACTTGATAGCATACTCTGCTACCTTACTCTCGCCTGCTTTGTGTAATATTACTCCCGCCCCGCTTCCCATTGAATTAGAAGCGCCATCAACAAATAACCTCCATTCTGTTTCTTCAGTTACCCTTGTGGTTTCTTGCAGGAAATCCGCTAAAGCTTGACCTTTGATGGCCAACCGCGGCTCATATTCTATGTCAAATTGTCCTAACTCGACCGCCCATTTCACCATCCTTCCTGAAACGTCAATCCTTCCTAGCACTGTCTTCATGGGGTGGTTAGTCCGGACCACTATGGTATGCGATAAGAAATAAGGTCGCAACTTTCTCGCTGTGGTTACTAGGGCTAGCCCGATTTTCTCAATTTCGGAATATCGCTCCTCCGGCCCTCGTAATAATCTACTCGCATAATACACTGGATTCTGCTTTCCTTCTTCCTCCCGAATGAGTACCGAGCTCACTGAATACTCGCCCACAGAAAGGTAGACATACAGCTTCTCTCCCGCTTTAGGTTTGGTTAACAATGGCAGCTGAGCGAGAAGCCCTTTCAGCTGGGTGAAAGCGATCTCCGATTCCTCCGTCCATCTGAATTCAGCGCCCTTTCTCAGTATTTTAAAGAAAGGGTAACTCGCCTCACCAGATCTAGATATGAATCTGCTTAAAGCTGTGATCCTTCCCGCCAGTGTTTGGACCTCTTTAATGCTCCTGGGTGCTTTCATGTCGATGACCGCCTGAACCTTTTCTGGATTTACCTCTACCCCTCTCTCGGTGACCATGTAACCGAGGAATTTGCCCGTCCGGACCCCGAAAGCACATTTATCTGGGTTGAGCTTCATTCCATATTGCCGTAAGGTGTGGAAAGTTTCTTCAAGATCCTCTAAATGTGTTCTAGCTTCCTTGCTTTTTACCAGCATATCATCCACATATCTCTCCATGTTTCTTCCTAGCTGTGTTCGGAACATCCGATCCATCAATCGTTGGTATGTTGCGCCCGCATTCTTCAGACCGAAAGGCATCACCGTGTAACAATATGTGCCTGTTGATGTAATGAAGCTTACTTTGGCATGATCCTCTCGATCCAAAGGTATTTGGTGGTAACCTTGGGATGCGTCCATCATACTCAACATTTCACATCCTGCGGTTGAGTCTACGAGTTGGTCGATCCGGGGGAGGGGATAATAATCCTTGGGACATGCCTTGTTGAGATCTCGGAAGTCGATACACATTCTCCATTTGCCCGTTCCCTTCTTTACCAGTACTGCATTGGATAACCATGTGGGAAATAGTATTTCCCGAATTTGACCTGCCAGCAACAACTTTTGCACTTCCTTATGGATTATTCTATCTTTTTCAGCTCCAAAATGCCTTCTTTTCTGTTTGACCGGCTTGGTGCCCGCTTTGACATTCAACTTATGAACAACTAAGCGACTATCGATCCCTACCAAATCCTTTGGCGAGAATGCAAATATATCCAAATTGTTGCGCAAGAATTCTATTAATTGCTCTGCCATTGTGGGGTCCATATCTCTCCCAATTCTAGTTGTGCGGCTAGCGTCCTTCTCGCAGAGTTGCACAGTCATCAATTCCTCCATGGGCCGCACGTGACTGTCCTCCTTCTCGGGATCGATTTTAGGGCGAGGCTCATCTTTTTCCATCATGTCAGCTCGCCCGCTATGAATGGTATCTATCCTCCCCGTTCGTCTTAGCGCATCGTAATAGCACCTTCTCGCGGTCTCTTGATCTCCTCGCACCTCACCAATCTGATCTCCCATGGGGAATTTTAACTTCATATGATAAGTAGATACCACGGCTCGGAATAAGTTCATGGACGGTCGACCGAGTATCATGTTGTTTGTAGAAGGTACATCCAATACTAGGAAATTTATTGACCTAGTGGCTCGCACAGGCTCCATACCCAATGATATAGGCAAGCACACCTCTCCGAGAGCCTGAACCGTCTCCCCCGAGAATCCCATTAGGCTAGTCTCCACATATTTCAGCTCGAAATTCATATTCATTTGCTTGAAGCAATTGTAGAAAATGACGTCCGCAGAACTCCCCGTGTCAACTAATATCCCGCGCGATATCGAAATTGGCCACCATGGCTGTGATTACCAAGGCGTCGGTGTGTGGCTGCTGTATCCCCTCTTCGTCTATCCTCC